CTAAACTATTAGTTTTGATCCGTTTTAATACCTAAACTTTAGTTTTTGTTTCATGTTAGTATCTCAGTTCAAAATGTAACGTTAAGTTTTAAAAGAAATTGAAAGTTTAAGTACTAAAACAAACCAAAACTGATAGTTTATGTACTAAAAATGTTAATTTTTTAATGACGTGATGCTAAAATAAAACAAAAACTAAACGTTATGCATGATTTTTTTTAAAAAAAAATAAAAGTTTAGGTGCTAAAACAAACCCAAACGGATAGTTTATTTACTAAATATAGAGTTATCCTAAAAATTATTACATGCAATGAGAAACTTTAATTTGAAATTCAAAGAGGATGCTTGTTGGACAATCAGATGTGTTTGTTTTCATTATATCTAAGTAATGAGAGACTAGTAATTATTGGTACAATTAGTAACATACACCGAAAGACAAAATAATTAGTAGATAAAATTTGAATTAATATTTGATATATTAGTAATAAAATAATTTTTTTTAAATAGTATTCAAATGCTAAATATTTTATTTTTTAAAAATATTCAATTGCATCTCAATATTACTAATATATTTTTTTACTAAGAATATCAAATAGTAATATATTAAGTTTTTCAAACCAAACCAAATACCTATTCCTCACTTGTACTTTTCTTTTATTTATTAAAATTATTTTAAATTAAAGGGCAAACAATGACGTGAGAGGGGGGGGGGAAGGGAGGAAAGGGAGGTGCAATCGGCCAAAAAGGAACCAAAACACAGAGACAGTAGAAAATCTTGAAAAATTAAGGAAGTGGGTGTCGGCAACAAGGAAATGGTGGTCTACTGCTTCGACACTTCGCTGGCCCATTATAATAGCGAAGAGGCTGCTCCTCCCGCCTTCGACTAGGGCCAACGGTAATTTATTCTCCCTCATTCTTTGTTTTGTGATCCATGTGTTATTCAATCCAAGTTTCCTGCTTTTCTTCTCTTTTGTAATGATGGGTTGGATGCTGATGTTTTTATGTTTGTTATTCGAATTTTTTTCCTGCGTGTGTCTGATATTAGTTTATAGTTTTTTTTTGTTATTAATATGAAAGAGAAATTATTAGTTGAAGTTGGGAACTCAATTTGATGTCATTGTTGTTTTAGAGTTTTCCAACTAAAGAAAATTGTGTTAATGTTTTAATCAACAGCAGAATTCAATGTTTTCACTTCAAAACACGTGTCTGGCTTTAGTTTTTAAGCAATTTGGTTAATGTAAGAATATGATATCCGATATATCTTATTTTGGTTTATTTGACTCTATTTCCCTTGAAGTATCTGTGTCTGCCTGACCAATATGATCCCCCTGATCACTTCAATATATGAAAACCTTTGAAACATAGTTGAATATATCATTGTTGGACGTATACTCATGTTCAAGTAATATATGAGTAACATAGAGCTTCTACACTGTATTTTTGTTGTAACAAAGTAAATTTGCATTCAAAAGCTTATCTTTGCAATTTGCATTCAAAGGTGCAACAAAGTAAATTTCATACTTTACATTAACTATATGCATAAACAAGGATCGACGGAGGGGGTGCTGGGCTTGGCGGGAAGTCTCGCACCCCACGGGAATTTCAAATTCCCATATGATTTGTATATTTTCTTTGTATTTTCTATTTGATCAGACCCCTAAATTTCTAATATAACTTCCTAAAAGTTTGAACCCTTTGACATAAGATATTGCTTTCGGCCATTTGTATAAAATAATATCAATATATCCTACATCTCTTATGTTCGTAACCTAAATTGAAATTAGTTTCTTCAAAAAATATTTGTTTAGGCAATGCTTTTTGAATGCAAGCACACATTCTACAATCAATTTAAGTTTTGGTTGAGCTGTGCTTCTCTATGCTCTATTTGTTAAAGCTCTTTACTAGCTTTGACTTGGAATTATGTGATAAATGAGTTATAGCTGGGTTATTGTCTCAGTTATTTGTTTTAGCTAGGGTATTGTCACGTTTATTTGTTTTCTGAATTTAGTTGTGTTCTATTTGGTTTACCGCCGTCTTTTTATTTTGGCAATTTGGTTGTAAGGTTCTTATAGTTATTTATTTGCTGATTTGTTTCTGCCAAGGTCATGCTGCCTGGCACCGAAAGTATGGATGCTGTTCTTCTGGTTGCTTTTCTCTATCAAATAGAGAATTTCAGAAGCGTTGCAGTTTTTCATTTACTGATTCTATTCTGTTATCTTTTGCTGTTGGGTTTTGGTATAAAATAGATGGTCATTAAACTGTCTCCGGTATTTTTAGTTTTCTTTGGTCTCATTATATTTCTGTTTACTTTGAAAATGATGCTTTCATTTGAGAGAAATCATCTTCTGTTTTAAGCCCATTGTTTGTGACATGGAAGAAGGTTGTGAACGGTGGGGAACCTCGTCTACGAGGATGTATCGGCTCACTTGAAGCTTGCCAGTTGATTAATGGGTTTATGGACTATGCTCTGACAAGGTATTAAGACCAAATTGAAAAACATGTACTTTGGAATTTAATTCCCCTCTTCACTTCTCTATCTTTGTATGTGTATGTGCACTCCCCAGGTAGCTGATATATCTAGCACGAGTCTATGACAATATATACTGTGAGCTCATTCTTAAACTCTTCTACTTTTATTCATTTTCTATCATTTAGATAGAATCTGTTTTGTTGCCCTAATCATGATTCATAACTGATATACGTAAGAAAATGATTAAGCTGATACAAATAAAATATTTGGAACGTGCATTCTAAAAAGAGGAGCATTTTGGATAGACCTAAAAAAAGGAAAGGATGGAAGTGCTTTGTAAAATTAAGTTATTGGACTTTGTAGATCTGCTATATCTGTAGATTGATTTAATCATATTTCATACCAGAATTGGGTTGTTAGCATGCTTTGTTATAATAAAATGTTATTATGAAATTTGATACGACTAAAGTTAGGCATGTTACATGGGAGAATAGTGGTTTTTGACTTCTAGTCAGAACGCTTGTTATAAAAGAAGTGGCCTTAATTACTATCTGACAAGTACTAAGAGAAGTCATTTTTAGTGATTAGTAAGTCCGCTGTGAGCTTTCTGCTGCTATTTAGATTAGTTAACAGTAACAAGGTTGGCTAAACTGCACTGTTTGATTTGATGTCTTGCTTCGAGTCACCTAAGCTTGATTTCCAAGCAACGCTTGTTGTGATGGTAAAACAGTTCAGCAGAGGGTAGAACTTAGAAGTTCCGAGAGCAGCCAAATCACCTGAAAGTAATAGGGGATGATGCTTGAAATCAAATGGCACTTTTTTAGCTCTGTATAATTACTCTAAAGAAATTAAGAAACCTTGAATTCCTATAATACTTTCTACCATTGAGATCTTTTTCCTACGTGATAATATCCAATCATTCTAGTGTCGTAATAAAATATGCATCATGATCCCTAATGTAAGGCCACTATAACTCTTTGCTATTTTTGTTTGGTTAAGGCCATTGCAACTATTTGCTACTTCTGTTTGGTTGTAACATGATTTTTGTCATTTCAAAGTTGACTTTACTCTATGTGCTATACGAACTACAAGTTTTTAATCGATTCAGTTTGTTCCTACTTATTTTCTTATTTCTTTTGTTTACAGTGCTTTGAGGGACCGCAGGTTTCCCCCTATACAAGCTAAAGAACTGCCTTTTTTAGAATGTACAGTTTCTATTCTGACTGATTATGAAACAGCTAATAACTACCTTCACTGGGAGGTATGTAATTCATCACGATTTCAATCTTCTAACATCTGATCAAGTAATATAGTCTGTAAAATGCACTGCGCGACTGTATTGGTTGATCAAATTTTGAATATTTGGATTGGATATGGCCTTTACCTTCGTTTACATTTTCCTTACAGGTTGGAACATGGCATAATTATTGAGTTTGTTGCTGATTATAATACAAGGCAAAGTGCTACATATTTACCTGAGGTTCCGGCGCATGAAGGTAGATTTTATTGCCTGTTTTAAGTCGAATGAGGTTATATGATGTGAAGACTTTTCTTTGCTTTCTTCTCTTCCTCTTTTTGTGATATGCATATATGCCTCTGTAGTCTGTATGTATATATTATATGCATGATTGTCTTCTATGGTTAGGTTTGGTCTGTGTAATTTTTTTAGTGAACAGACTCTTAGTAAATTAGTTCGAACGAAACAAGTTTTTGGAGCAAACTCTTCTCTGATGCTCATGAATTTTGTGTATTTCTGTTTCTTTCAGGTTGGACAATGTGTAGGAAATTGACTCGCTCGTCTGAAAGGCAGGATTCAGTGGCCCTATCATCGAGTCGCTCAGGAAGCGTATCAAACTGACCCATTACCAAGGCACATTATTTACAATGCACTTCAGTGACTATGTCTCCTATGTGAAGGCAACCAGGGGTGCAGCACCTTCTATTGCCGGTGCTAAGCTGGGAAATTAATGATTCTTCCAACAGCTTTTGCAGAGAAAAAGGGTAAAGCTGCTTTGGCTAAATTATATGGACGTGATATTAAACAAAATGAAAAATGGGCGCCTTCTTTTGGTTGATGGTGCTTGTTTCCACTTGCAGTGTTTCTAGTTGTTGCAGATGAAGCAGTTGGCAGGAGTATGCCTTTTTTTTTCCTCGACTGGGTGCTAGATGATTTTAAACAGCGATATGGTGCAAGTATAAGAAATGAGGGTCCCCGTCCTTTAGCTGATGATGAAGATGATGACGACTTATTTGAGGACCAATTTACCGTTGCATATAATCTTGACAGAGAATTTGGGTGCGTACAAATCTTGGCAATGTTAAGTTGTTACATTTATCCACTTACCCTATGATGGTCATATACATGATGGTATAATCCTAACCTGTAATGCCTTGCTATGTATGACAGTCCAAGGCTTAAGGAGCACATGCAATATTGTATGAACCATCCAGAAGAAATTAGTAAGCTCTCAAAATTTAAAAGCTCAAATAACTGAGGTGAAGGGGATTATGATGGATAACATTGAAAAGGTATGTATTTATTTTCTTGAGATGTATAAGTATGGAAAAATGGATGTGTGGTTTTGACTGTAGAGATTAAGTATTTTGTAGCAATCTCCTTTTTTCCTGTGGCTGGTGCATATTTCTGTGGTTACCATTGAACTTGTCTATAAATATTTAACTTGTTATGGCTCTTTTTTACTCAGTATTCATGTTATCTGTTGTTATCAGTATTGAACTTTTTTTTCCTGTTCTTTGTACATTTATGTTTCAAGTTTCAAATGTTTTATGGCTGTGTATCCAACGACAGTTGACTTTTCAACCGGCAGATCAGTTTTGTAAAATTTCTTGCCTTTGCATCTTGTGGTTTCTGACTATTCATCAATACAGGAGAAAATTTCTTGCCTCTGCATTCATGTTAGATGCTGTTATTGGTATTGACTTTCACAGCAGGCATATATGAATGAGTTGACTCTAATTTTATTATCTTTTGTTGGTGTAATGTTCTTAGCCATCTTATTCCAGCATTTGCTTTGCCAGAAGGCGTATATGAATGAGTTTTCTAGTCTCGGATAACTTAATTATATTTTCCGAAGGAGTTTATTATCAGTGCTGAGTTATCATTATGTATGTAAAAGGTATCATTCTACGTTTGGGTTTATTTACATGTCACATCTTCGTATGTGGTTAAGAGTGTTTGCTTCCTTGTTTGTAGTTAGAATGACATTTGTCAAGTGGATAAACCCATTTTGGTCTTGCAATTTCTGAGCTCCATCGTCGCTATATAGGATAATAATCCTTTCAACCTTCAGTTACTCTACCAAGCTGGTTTTGTTGACTTAGTAACTTGGTCAATTGATCAAGTATTTATTGACTCAAAGCTTAGCTTGAAAGTCAATTTATTAAGAGGAGGAATCAAAAAACTCTGTACTGGATACCTGCCTGTGCGCGCAAAATTATGTAAGGACTCAGACATATATCCTACTCCTGTTGCATTAGTTCACCGACGTACAGTATGATCTCAGCCCAAACGTAGTGTAGTTCCCAACCAATTATCTTATTGTGACTTCGATGCTATGGAGATTTTTGGCTTCTCGTAGTACAAATGCCTATGAGAGATAAGGTTTGGTGGGTTACTTCCACAAGACCTAAAGCTTTTCATTCCAAAAGTTTCTGTTTAAAAGTTCAGGGCTGTGACTGAAATGAATGTTTTCCCATGGCAAAACAGCTAGTGTTCAGTTTTCTAATTCAGCTGAAACTAGTGAATGGAAAATGGTGTTGTTAAAGGTAATAGTATATTGGTTTTGGTTCATGGTTTTCTGGACAACATGAATGGAGCTGGCATATTCTTAAAATTATATCAGGCGTAGACACTTGCTGTTTGTCTTTGTGCTCTCGGTTATGGTTAATCTTCTGTTGAGCCTCTTAAGTATGGGTGAATATTATATGTGGCTGTATGACTCCATGTTGCACTTTTCATTTGGGGAGAGAGAGAAGAGAGGGGGTTGAATTTTCCAATAAAATTATCGTGGGTGAGATCCGTGAACACTTTATTCTATGAATTTTTGTGGAGGGTGCTAATTTGGGGTTAATCTGCTTGTTCCTTCGCTAAAACTGTCTGATGTTTCTGTTTCTTAATTATCAAAAGGAAAACTAATAATATACGCTGTAGCTCACTGTGAAGAAATCAATAATTAAATTCCATTTCCGAGCAGCTTTGGGATCGTGGGGAGAAGATCGAACTTCTAGTGGACAAAACAGAAAACTTGCAATTCCAGGCTGTTGCTGTTTTATCTTTTGTGGTTTTGTTTAGGGACTAGGTAAGTCCATTAGATGTACAGTTTTGTAATTCATGGTGTTCGAATTATTATCATAGGCTGATAGCTTCCAGAGGCAAGGGCGGCAACTGCGACGGAGGATGTGGCTGCAGAAACTACAAATGGAACTGATGGTAGGAGCTGTTCTTGTGTTGATCATCCTCTTGTGGCTATTTGTGTGTGGAGGTTTCAAATGTTAACTCTATATGGCTGAGATCAACCAGAACTTAAGAACCGTTGCATTGTGTTTTCTTTTATACACACTATAAAAATTAATAGTTTACATTGTTTAGATGTACAAAAATAGTTATGCCCATTCGTCTTGTACATGGACTGCTGTTGGTATGTGTAGCACACTGCTGTTTAAGATTATGTTAGACTACCCTGCTGTTTTTATATATCTCTGTACTAAAATAAGGTTTATTTTTAGTAGAAATTAAATGCCATGAGTTGATTCAGATACAATATAAATAGGAATAGACGTAAAGTTTTATGTTAGGTTATAGTTTATAAAACTATAACAGTAAAAGTAGATTCTTAATAGAAAATATTTGAATTATGAGAATTTGATATCAATAAATAATGTTAAAATAAAAATGACCCTAAAATTTATGATAAACTGAATGATTTAAAGAAAATCTAAAAAATGATTATAAAATAAAAAAAATGAATATCATATGATTTAAAAAAAAAGCATAATACACAGTTAAATTATTGATAAAAAAATGCAAAATTAAAACTAATTATATATTCTAATTTAGTTTTGTTTGAAGTTCATCATCTGCTTTATTTTTAAATTTAATACAAATTATAAATAAATTTAAATTCTGAAATAATTATACTGATTTGTACTTAATTACTACAAAAATCATAAACGCGTTGCTTTATATACAACTTTTAAAAAGTATTTTTTTGTCGCACTTTGGAGGTTAATTTTTTTCAAAATAATATATTTTTATTAATATCATTGTTTATTACTATGTTCTAGAAATCTGACCTGCTAGATGCTTTTCTTAGAAATTGCACATCGTGATTAACAACGCGTAATTTGAAGGACAAGGAGAAGAAACCCTCCGAGTTCCAACAAACACTGCAATCTCCGAAATCAAAACCAAATTCCCTCTCCCGTCTCCCTTCTCTTCCTCTAATCTCACAATAAGGAAAGAAGATGAAGCGAGTGTTCGGCGTTAAGAAAGACAACGAGCCCCCACCTTCAATTCAAGACGCCTCCGATAGGGTTTCTCACTTTATCTTTTTTATGTTCTATAATTTCTCGTATTTTCGGTTGATCTGTTGATCTCCGACTTAGTGTTAGGGTTTACGTGTTTGATTGGGCTGTTTCATTTCAAAACCCCTTGATCTGTGAAATCACATGGATTGGATTTTGTAATCAGATCAACAAAAGAGGGGATACGGTGGATGAGAAGTTGAAGAAGCTTGATGCTGAGTTGAGTAGGTATAAGGAACAGATAAAAAGCACGAGGCCTGGCCCTGCTCAAGAGGCTCTTAAAGCTCGAGCCATGAGGGTTCTCAAGCAAAAACGAATGTACGTGCTTCTTCTCTATCAAAATATTTCCTTATTTTATTCAATAATCATTGTTTGAACCTCTTTATGTCGAGTTATTATCAATGGACTATCTTTGAAGTATGTGAATTCTGTTACTGTGACGGTATATATGTTATGTTGGATGGATTATAATACTTATTGAAGCCAATGGCGTGTTTGCGAATTTGTTTGCTTTAGTAATCAATAACCTCTTTTTTTATTGATATTTGTAGCTAAGGGTGATTTTTGTGTGTGTCTGTTTTGCCTAAAATTTAATGAAGATTTTTAATCATCTATTTTTTGGTACTATATTGGGGAAAATATTTAATGTAATTTGATCCGTCTTTCAGTCAAGTATTATTTTCTTTTCTTTTTTAATCATCTCATACACTTGTGGCTTCTGTATAGGTATGAAGGGCAACGGGATATGCTTTATAATCAGACATTCAACCTTGATCAAGTTTCTTTCGCTTCTGAGGGTCTTAAAGATGCTCAGCAAACTGTATGTGGTAGCCTTTGACTTCCTTATACATTCCATTTATGAATCTGATCTGTTGCAGACATCCATTAACCGATAAGACTATTGTTTATTTCTAACATGATACTGATATGTGCCCTGTCATTAGTATTGCTCATCCTTGTGTATGCTTTTCAAGAGTATGGGTGCAATTGAGTTGCCATTTGTTGTTTTTATAAGATTGAGGGTAGTTGCTACCTGATATCAATTGTTTACTCCTTGCTATAGTGGGTTTATTGGAGCTATCGTATATTTACTGTATATTATCTGTGTCTTGATAGTGCCCAAAGGGGCATAATTTGGGATTATACAATTTGGTTTTTCTAGTTCTCATGTTGGAATTGTCTACCTAGCTTGCAAGAGGTAGGATAAACAATTTCACACTAGGTAGAGGTTTCTTTCATGGATATGCGATGAATGATCATCTATATCCTGAATTGTTTATGCTCATTCTGGGACTAGTCCAAGCCAAGATGCCCTGAATTTCATAATCTATGTTTGAACTACCTCTCCTTGTGATTTTAATCATAATTATTTTCCTGTGCCAGATGTCAGCCTTGAAATCTGCCAACAAGGAGCTGAAAGGAATGATGAAGACTGTGAAGATTCAAGATATAGACGTCTGTACTCTTTTATACTTCACATTCTGCACCTTTTGTCCGTTATAATGAAGTCTAACTGATATTTTCTTATTTTTACTTGTAGAACTTGCAAGATGAAATGATGGATATGATGGATATGAGTAATGAAATTCAAGAGACTTTAGGCCGAAGCTATAATGTGCCTGATGATATTGATGAGGATGAATCATGGGCGGTAAGCATTGACCTTATCCAAAGTCACAGGCTTCAAATTTCTTTTTTTAGTTAGATGCAAGTATTGCAGACTATTGTTACTTGAAACGCTGGAAGAAGTCAATGATGGAACCAGATTATGGTTGCCTTTAATGTGCTTATGGTTTTCTGAAAGACTTTAGGGTCTGCTAGAATTGCATGTAACTTACATGTTGCCATCTATATTTCCTTGATAATCTATTTTGGATTGCAGAACTTGATGCATTGGAAGCAGACATGGGAACTGAAGCTGATGGTGTTCCTTCGTACCTTCAACCTGATAAGGAGGAACCGGATTTGGATGCAGAGCTCAATTTACCTTCAGCTCCATCAGGAAATGCAGCAGCAGCTGGCAGGGCCAATGCCCAGGTAAACTGATATACTCTGCAATGTTAGTCATGTTTTATATTAGCATCCAATACTAGAATCGGGATATACTTACGTAGATAGGATTTTGGTCAAATATGTGATTTTCTTTTTCCAATTTTAATGTCCACTCTGCTGGCACCATCCCAACCTCAACTTTATTGCAAAGACCTATGCTGCTCAAACTCTTTTCTCCCCCCTTATGTATCCATGTTTAACACCCCATCCTTGGCACATATTCAAACATATACATGGAAATCTTGAAAATTTGATCATATCAGTATCAGGCATGGGTATGTGTTGAACACTCACAACCAAGTCAAAGTAACATAGACTAAAACTGTTTTCAAAAGACCGTTAAGATTAGTTTCACATTTTATACTTCCATAGGAGGTCATTTTCTCTAGTGCAAGTCCCCGTGCCTTTTTGTTTTTACAGCAATGGCCATGTGCTTTGTAAACCACCGTTGGCAATCGCCTTGTCAAGCTCGCTTTAGTTATAGAGCTGTTACTGGTTAAGCTGCTGAAATATCTAAATCTTGATATCTGCATCTGAATCTGAATCAAATTCTCCAATTATAATATCTTGATTTTTATTTTAACTCGGATGCACTTTGCAGGGTGAGGATGAACTAGGTTTGCCAACTGTTCCACGAGCATCCGTCCGCAGTTAGATATCGGGCTATGAAGTTGGATGGAGCATGCCTTTGTGACCATATTGTGCAGAATTAACTTTCAATTACCAGTGCAATTTAATTGATTTTCACTTGACGGTGTTGGGAGCTATATAATAAGACTGAATCATTCGACTCGGAAATTTGGATATCATATTTGGTTATTTAATATATCATTATCATATTTGTATTTCCGAACTACTTATAATATATGAAGTGTTGATTTAAAGTTTTAGACAATCAAATAATGTTGTGACGGCACATCCATCTCTTCCCCACTCATTGATTGTACCATAAGCTTATATTAAAGAATTAAGTCATTGATTTACACATTTAATACTGTACATGAACCATTCTTAACTAAAAGCCGTAGGAACCTGTCCTACCCTAAAATAAAAAGAAAACTTCACACTTTTTTCCAATTTCAAAGTTCATATCAGAGCAACAAGTTCGCCATCTCAAATTTCGAGAAGAAAAAAAGAAGTGAAAGTCAAAATTTAAAGATTAATTGCATAATTTACAGAATCGGAGTAAAGAAGAAGAAGCTACACAATCAGCTCAAAAGCGGACTTCTGCAGTCGAGGTCAAGATCTTGATGAGCATGACCGTCTGAATCATCGCCACATTCATAAACAGATCCAACGAGTGCCAGTTGATCTTCCAAGTACCTTTGCAACAGTCCAGCTTCTCTCCCTTCTCCGTCCCCGTAACAACCTTCTTCACACCTCCGTATCCGGTTCTCCTCATCTTCTTGCGCCGCCGCCTTCCCGCCGCTCCTCCTCCGACAAATCCGGAAACAGATTTCAGCCAAGCAAAGGATAGGGAAAGTGGCGCAGAGAAAGGGGATCAGGAGAGGGGAGCAAAGCAAGAGGAGAAGACACCGGCGGCGGCGCGTGCGGATCCACGTCACCATGGTTAGCATGAGGCGAGCAGGGGCCAAGAAGGGGGTAGGAAAGATAGGCGTAGGGTTGGGATTGGACAGAAGCGCCTCATGGCGGGAAGGGTAGTTGAGGTTCGGCGAGGGGTTGGGGGCTGTGGCGACGGTGATCTTGTAGTGAGGGTTTGAAAGAAGCGAAGATTTGTTGATGTAAGGGGACTGATTTTTATACATAGTTGGAATGAATAAACATGGATTTGATTTCATTTCGGTTTACGCTTAAGAAAGTTCATTAGTGATAGGTTTGACCTTATTATTCACCCTCGCTGGTCCAACTGTTATTATAATAAAGTAAACAAAATTTTCTTCTTTCGAATATTAATTTGAGATCATTAAACCAATTCTAGACTTTAGAATATTGTTAGGATTTTATTTATTTATTTTGATTGTGTTAATGATGAGAATTCTTTTAATAATTAAATATTAAATTTCTAGAATAATATTTTTGTAGAATTCTTTTATTAGTTTTGAAGGGGTTTTCAGATGAGACGAATTTTGTAGAATGGCTTAAATGCACTCTTTGTGACTTGGTAAAGATTGAATTATAATATTTGATCTTATATTCGATATCGTCAAGCTCCGAATTAGATTATGATGTAGTACGATTAGGGATGGCAAACGGGCGGGTCGGGTGCGGATACCCCCTCCCCCATCCCCATACCCACCTAATATTTTTCAATCTACCACCCGCCCATCACCCATGATGGGTACAAATTTTCAAATCCACACCCGCTCACGCGGGTACATTCTCAAATCCATCCCCACATCCACTACCCACGAGCGACGTACCCGTTTAGACCCGCATGAAAGCAAACTTAAGTTATATATAAGCAACAAACATAAAAAAAACATTTCCATTAAGAAACATATCTATTAAGAAACATAATAAAATAATCCAAGGATTATCTGAGTTAAATTTTAATATAGATCTTAAAGTACATAAAACACCATAATAAAAGACATAATTAAAGTTTATAAACATAAATGAAAAACACATAATGTTTTTGTTATTTGGCACAACATTCTAAAATTTCAAACAATACTTGTGACATATGATACTCCAGTATTACAATCATCATTCTCTATTTCCTCCAATTGAGAGCGCTCCAATTTAAATTCACTACTACCTACATATATAATAGAAAGTGGGCGGGCGAATGCAGGGCGGATGCGGGGTGGGTAATGTCTCAAACCCATTACCCGCCTACTACCCGTGACGGGTATCACTTTCTAAATCCACACCCGCCTACTACCCGCCCACTACCCGCTAAAATTATACCCATCCCCACCACAATTGAAGTGGGTGCGGTATGGAATCCACAAAATTGTATCCGTTTATCATCCCTAAATACGATACTTGATTATCTAAAGATTCTGACGATAGTATAATCAAAACATTAATCAATAAATTCGTTATCAGTACATTGAAAATAGAAACTCAAATAAGACAATTAAAACTAATCCTGAAAAACAAAACAACTCCCTCTCAAAGCACTGACCTTTCTATTCCTTGCAAGAACCAGAAATCATCGAACAAGCAAGTAAATAAATTGAAGAAACAAAACTGAAATTGGACCTGGACCCAGTCGCCTCAAAGCAAACAGATTCTTTAACTACGGCGGATCTAGCCATCCACGATCCTCCGTCGCTTGACAGGACACAAGAGCTAGAGCGTCTTCAACCTAAAACTCATCATTCTCTGTTCAAATTGAGAGCGTCGCTACTCGCGCCAAGGTATCTGCTACACAATTGGCCGAGCGTGACACATGGTGAAACGAGCATGCACGTAAGGAATAGGTATGTAACACCCTTAATCATTAAATGCACTCCATTACGGGGGACTGTTAAATTCGCCGTCACGGCGCCGTCCTTAACCGTTATTGTTCAAAATAACGGTATGATGCGACAATAACGCTATTTTTGTTATTTTCCGTTACACAAAGTCAGCATCTCAAAAATATTAAAAAAAAATATATTGATAATTGATTAAGGGACTGTTTGTTTATTTTAAAATGATTAAGTGTTAAATGATTCAGAGACCCTATATGAATTAACTCTTAATGTGACATGCTATTTGATAATGACTCTGAATCATTCAGAATGTACTTCTATGTTGAATTAGTCAGTACTGAATACGAAATAAAAACGTTGAATGCTTAACGGTTCAACATTCAACACTGAATGATTCTATTAAGATTCAACGTTAAATGATTCTATTAAGAGACAAACAAACAATTCCTCGATCAAACAATGAAAAAGGACAACCTGAAGAATATATTCCTCTACAAAATTCAGAAGGCTTTCAATCAAAAAAGAAAAAGCAATTTGAATACTGAAATCAAGTGAAAAAAGTAATCCAAAATCAATTAAAAAAACTATTGAATCGGTAAACACAAACAAGTCAATAACAGATATTCAGTCATTCAAAACAAAAGAAAAAACGAACCCAACTAGAATTTCAAATCTCTTACTTCAAACTTCAGATTTTCTCTCAAATTTCACAGCTCAAACTCAAAATCAAACAAATCAGGAAAAAAAAATCACTTCAAGGAGAACCGGAGAAGATCATATATTCATGTAAGTACCTGATTATTTTATCTAGCTTCTTGCTTTTGGTGTAACATGCAGCATCAAAGTAAGTTTTTTTTTTCTTGATAGGAAATAAGTTTAGGAAGCAAAGAAAGTTAAGAACAAGAAAAAAACAACAAAGAAAATAAGAAAAGGAACGAATCAACGAATTTAACAAAAAAAACATTTTTTTCTAAATTTCTTCTGCGTTTTTGCATCTGCATCCACTCTTCACGCACGAGCAGGATAGAAGATGAAGAAATGATTTAGGAATTTCTATTTTAGGTGTTAAATATTGTTTTTTACTTTTAATGTTTTGGGTTTAGACCAAAACAGACCCAATCAGCTTACTTTAAACACTTAAATAGTTTTACTTTAGGTTAATAGATTTGGACTAAAAATGATCCAATATCTTATTTTGGGTTTTAAAAAAATTCATACACTTAATTTTTTTATTTTTTTATTTATGCAATAAGCTTTGTTTACTATTTTTATATTATATTATGATAATAGATGTAATGAATTGTTTATATTTTTAAATTCAAATTTTATGTTTATTTTATATAGATAAAAATTAAACATGTCACCATGTGAAGAGTTTCCGAAGAAAAGATTAGAGGGTGCACCAAGTAATGATATAGATTGACACTTTGTAACTCCAATGTCAAATGCGAGAGGAAGCATTGCATATAAACTTTTTGGTAAAGTTGTGAAATGAGGAATTACACGACTTCAAGAGCACATTGCTCATAAAACCGGAAATGTTGCGCCATGCCCTAATGTTACTGATATGTGACATTTTATTATCATTTTTAAATTTTATTATAAATTTATCAATATAGATGTGTATATAATTGTTAATAATATAAAATCTAAATTATTTATATTTTATTAACATGTGTCATTAGAGAAAGTATGATGAATATATTAAAAGAAGGAAACACAAAGAAAGTAGACAAAAATAGGAGAACATATGAATTTTTATCCCAATTAAGGGAAGAGGGTGATGAAAATGAGGGATTCATTGATGATATTGATGCTATGAGACAAGCAACTCGAGAAAGTAACCAATCAAAACATGAGTGCCATAGAAGGGAAGAATTCAGACGAAGTACTGGTGGTTGGAGTAACATTTATGAAGAAGGGCGATCTTCCCGTGGATCAGTTGGAGGATATCATGGAGAAAGAACAAGTAAATCCATCTCAAGTAAGTCCGAGTTTACCTTATGAGGAGCTATACGTGAATTGGTTAGAAGCAAGAGCTTAAAACAACCAAAGGTCACTATTTCCCTTTTAAAAATTTTACGCAAGAAGGTGAGTGAAGCAATATCTAAAATTTTAATATATTAATGGCTTTCTTTTCAATTAGCAAGCTCTCCATGGTTATATAATTTAATTCAAGTGTTAATAGAAGTTAGACAATGTGTAAAGCTTTCAACACCTTATGAGATTTCAGATGTGTATTTAGAATCAGAGTTTCAACGAGTTCGTGATTGGGTAAATGGACTAAAGACTAATTAGAAAGATTTGGTACAACTCTAATGTGTGATGGTTGGACCAACAATTTGAACCAAATGCACATCATCAAATTTTTTTTGTTTATTGTAGTAAAGAAAATATTTTTTAGAAATCTATGGATGTGTCAAGTGTTCGTAGCAGAGATGTTGAGTTCTACTACAACTTATTAGATTCAGTTGTAGAAGAAATTGGAGAAAGCTACATTTTCCAAATAGTGACTGATAATGAGGCAAAAATGAAAGTCGTTGGAAAAAATAATGTTGAAAAGAAAGCATCTATATTGGACCTTATGTGTAGCTCATTGTTTAGATTTATGCCTTGAATATATTGGGAAAAGATCTAGTGCAACAAAAGCGCTAGATGAAGCTAAAAAAATGACTTGCTTCATATACAATCACATTTGAACTATTGATCTAATGAAGAAGTATACAAATGTGAAGTAAATACTTCGAACCACTCTTACTCGATTCGTAACTCATTTCATTCAGCTTGAAGAGATAACAAGACAAAAGCAAGGTTTGCGAGATATGTTTAATTCAAAGGTCAGTATCTTATAATTAGTTATATAATTATTTAAATATAGTAACTTTTAATGATTTTATTAGTTTTAGATAATTTAAATTATTTTATTTTATTTTTTATGAATATATAGGAATTTAAATATTCAAAACGGGGACAATAAAAAAGGGACTTGCTTGTGAAGTCAAAAAGATTATTTTAAGAAAAGATTTTTGATAAAAAGCAAATGACCTCATAAAAGTTTACAAGCCCATAGTGAAACTATTGAGACTTGTGGATAGTGATGAAAAACCAACAATAGGTTTTATTTATGAGGTTGTTGATTATTAAAAATAGATGAAATTTTATGCATTCTAACTTGCATTCAGCTGGTAAGATAAAATGTTTCATATAATTAGAATTATTTTTATATTTTATTATAAATATAATTTTATTATTTTAAGCTTTAGATTATTATTATTTACTGATATTCTTATAAATTATGCTTAGGTTATTTTCTCAACCCTCAATTTTAATTTAGGGTGGAACATTATGAGAATGTATTGATAGAAACATTAGAAGGTACACAATCAGTAATTGAAAGATTAAAACCTTCTATTGATACTCA